AAAAAGTGTAGTAAAATATTATGACCTAAACTGGACATCCTCATCCAATCAACTCATAAATGGTAAGTGATAAAAAATCTTTCTAGTACAAGCTGTCAGCAATATGTGTGTCATTTTATTTGACGTTAGCATGTTGATTTAAAAAATAACAGTCACTGTGTGCTTACAATGTGTAGACTTGCATTTCGTGTCTTTCCTCGCTTTAAAAAAAAATCCCCATGCCAAAAGCAAAGCTGGGTATAAATAAATGCTAAGGAGTTCAGCTCTTGGTCASCCCAAGGGTTTTCGGAAGATAGTGGATGGGGAAATATTCCCTCAAACATCTGGCAACGTTGGGCTTTGGGAGTAGAAATGCTGTGAGGCGGGTGAGCAAGGGTGCCCCAGCCTCTGCAAACCTCCCTRTGTGACCCTGCACCATTTTGCTCTGCCCGGGGATCGTTTTATTTCACGCAGTTTCATGTTAGCAACACACATCCAGGGAATGAAGTTCACGACTCTTAACCCTTTCTGTGCGAAGCTGGAAAATATTAATAACAGGGGAGGTGGGGAGGGTGCGGGCATGTGTGTGAGAGCCCCAGAGCCCCTGCGTGTGCGAGCAGAAATGCCACGCAGAACTGCAAAGCGCTTGCAAATGAACATGACTCCGAAYTGAAGTGCAAATACTTGGGCATTCTTTCACCTTCAAGCAGTACTGGGGGGAAAAAAATACRGTGGCTACTGTGTGCGCTTGGAAACCAACTTGCTTGCAACCAACACCCAGTRCTTCCCCAAGCTGTTCCTAAATCCAGGAATTAGACGCAAGATAGTGCCAATGTTTTCTGTTTGCTGACATTGATACGGCTCGTGTTGCGGTTGATGGCATTTCTTTTTGSTCCATTGTGGCGGATATTTCCTTTGGGCATTTCATTTTTCTTTTTCCATGTGCACGTTTACTCGCAGGAAGAACTATATTTTCGTCAAACCAAAGCATCACCATTTTAAAACTGCGGGAACAGCGAGCACATTAAGTACCGTGGTTTTTCTTAAAAAAAAAAAAAAAAAAAA